TACAGATCAGATGTCTTCGGTTGTTTCTCAAATATATTTAGTTTATGACACCTGCTGCACTGGATACAGTAAATGACAAATTACGACGTGCAGGTCTAATGTCCCCTAACGTGGAATGTGTATATCTAGGACCAATTATTGTAGGGTTGTTTGAAAGGTATGGACATATCTAACAACTTTTACTGGTACAGTGAGCTCCAATAGTGGGGGAATTCTTGGTTCGAATACCCCAAGTGGTCTTTAAGGTTGGTATTTCGTTTATAAGAAATTAAAGGAGGTATATTGAGTATTTCACCAGTGATGGGGTCAGTCTTGAGTAAATGATTTTTTTTATTTGTATGAGATTTGTTACTAGTCTGTTGAGAGGGACTGTGTGTTATCAATGGGATTTTATCGTTTTTTACTTTTGTATTCAGGTTGGGTAGCGTTAATATGTGATGCAGTGTACATATGGTTGTGGACCTTTTTTTAATGACATGAGCCATGTATTTGCTTTGTTCAAAAGATCTGGTCATATCATTGGTTTTGCATAAAAAGGTCTGATACTCGGAGCATAAGTCTTGTGAACTGTCCGTTAAAAATGTCAGTCTTGGTTTCGCATGGATGGAGAAAATGGTAGTCTAAGTAAACCTGACTGTCAGTGTCTTTGTAGTGCATGGTGGTTTTTAAGAAAGCAGATGAAATGTGGATGTTGATGTCGAGAAACGAAGCACTGGTATCGTAGAATTTCATAAATCTATTTAAGGTCTGGGAAGAGTTGTTAGGTAAATTCTATGAACTGCTCTACTTGAGTTCTGATACATGTAACAATACCTAAAATGTCGTCACTGTAACGAATAAAGAAATTGGGGAAAATGCTACCAAAAGTCATATAACGGCGATCCTCAAGGTAGGCAACAAACAGAAGAGAATGAAGAACCCATTTTTTGAGCGTTGAGTTGTTGATACAGTTGGCCATTAAATTCAAACTATTCATAGTGAGAAATAATTCAGCTAATTAGATTAGAGTTTTAATGGTAGGGAACTTAATGTCTCTTTTACCAGCCGACACTGAGAAAACAACTTATATATATATAGTGCAGTCATAAATGTTGTTATTATGCTCTAGAAAACCAAAACATTTCATTTTTACCCTGAAATATTGACTTGATCCATACATCGTCAGTGCTTTCACCCGGAAAAATGTTGTCTAACTCTGTGCTTCGTTTTCCCCACATTCCAGAAAGGTCATTCCAATCCCGTTTACTCAGCATGCCTGGTAAGTCATTCCACTCCCGTTTCCCCCACATGCCCGACAGCTTATTCCAGTCTCGTTTATCCCATATGCCAGATAAGTCATTCCACCCTTTTTTATCCATGATTTCGGAAGGCTTTCTCAAGCTTCGCTTGCCCCACATTCCGGACAGACTGTTCCATCCTCTCTTCTGATGCTCTTGATCGTCAGTCCTTAACAGTACTGTTTCAAGGTCTGGGTTGTTCTCAAGATAAGAGCCCTCTGCCAAGATGACAACAATACATAGACAAAGGAAACATCCGACTCCTTCAGTAGCATGGTACATGACGGCTATGAAATAGACGTAAGTAAATATAGTAATCAAATCATGGGAAGAGGGCTAGAAAAAACATATATTGCCTTAAGTAAACAAATAGATGTTAAATAATTGTTAGAGCCTACTTCGAATGTTTTATTACAAGTATATATGTAACCATGTAAAATGTACACAACATAACAATTGTTGTTATCAAATGGCTTATATAAATAGTGTTCCGATCATTGCTGTGTTTGTTGTATCCCAGTCGGTCTGAAAAGTTCTGGATTGAGCGAAACGCGTAGCTTGGCAATGGATATTATACACTCTTCTAATACTTCAAATTCCCTAAGGGGCTAGATAAAGACGTAGTGTTTAAAAATGTAATAGGCCTAATATTAATGTCTTATGACAATATATTAAATAATGTTCCAGAAAAATATGAGAATCCAGAATAACATCAGATCTTGTATGTGTTACATCCCATGTAAAAAATTGGGTAAATGTTTAATGTTAAACTCCGATAAACGAAAACTACCGATTTATACCAGAACTAAACATCACCTCAGTAATCAGTATAACTACTTAGATATAAATGTCTTATATTATTATTTATAAAGTTTATAATGCATTGTTTCCTCAGTTTAATACCTCACTGTTAGTAAAGACTCTGATATCAAACATCTTTATGTTCCTCTATAAACTTTTTCTAAAGTATACAATTTTAATAAACGAAATATTCCAGCCTTTTATAGTCTTGTTCTTGTATGAAACATTTCAATACAAATAAATGATTTATTGTTTGCATTAAATTTTGTAAGTACCATAAGGTGTCCTAAAATTCTATTCTCGTATAAAAATTACTTATTTTACCTGTTTACAGGTAAAGACATTGTTTAAACATTTTAAACATTATTATAGCGAGATGACATTGGGTTTGACCAATCCCGTATGTATGAGGTGAAAATCCAAAGTGCGTAGCACCTGAAGGAAGGTATAACAAGTACTTATCACCATATGAAGGAACGTATAACTAGTGATTGTCATCACCACCTGAAGGAACGTATCACCAATGGTTGTCATCACCACGAAAAGGAACGTATCATCAGTGGTTGTCATCATCACCTGAAGGAACGTATCATCAGTAGTTGTCATCACCACCTGAAGAAACGTATCACCAGTGGTTGTCATCACCACGAAAAGGAACGTATCATCAGTGGTTGTCATCACCACCTGGAGGAAGTATCACCAGTGGTTGTCATCCCCACCTGAAGGAACGTATCATCAGTGGTTGTCATCACCACCTGAAGGAACGTATCACCAGTGGTTGTCATCACCACGAAAAGGAATGTATCACCAATGGTTGTCATCACCACCTGGAGGAAGTATCACCAGTGGTTGTCATCACCACGAAAAGGAACTATCACTAGTGGTTGACATCGCCACGAGAAACAACGTATCACCAGTGATTGTCGCCACGTGAAGGATCATATCACCACTGCTTGAAGGAACATGTTTCATGGCCAAGACATACACCATTTTAACGATCCAAATAACCAGCCAATTTATTATTGATTACTAATAATGTAGTGCAAAATTTGTCAGACGTGTGACGTCACCATAAGGGTAACGACCTCAAAGGCTAATTTTAATTTTTTTGAGTCCATTTTAAATATATATTCAACGTTAAATATTTGAGACTACTCACATTACAGCCAAATTTAACACACAACTTAAATTCCTTTAAATAAAACAGAAAAACAACAACTGGGTATCATATATATATATATATATG